TTGATTACTTTTTGATAAATAATTCGTTCTTATTGCGAAATAGGAGCACTATTTATCAATCTGTAATAAAAGACGTGAGGAAATTCTGTCTTTTCTAAAGACAAAAATTTGTGAGGCGAAATACCCAAAAAGAAGTTTGTAAAAAAATGAATCCGCCTCAACAATATAGAACTTATCTACAACCTATTTTTAAGTTAGAAAATATTGAGCGCAGAAATTGCCTTATCAATTTTAGGTTTCAGAAGGAACATGTTCCGCGACTGGTTCAATGTCTCCGAATACCAGAAAAAAACGCAAATTTTTTCCTACTACATCCATTTCACTATTGGTTAAATAATATCAGAAATTAGTCAAATATGCCAATACCGTCGTTCTGCTTTTTAACGTGATGCTTATTAACGTTACCGCTACTCGTACGTAAATAAAGGAACACGTTATCCTCTAATAACGTAAACGGTTATTTCTTGACTATTGCACATGCTCATAATAACGGATAACGTAAAACGTGTTGCAATTAAAGGGCCTCAAAACTTCCTATTTTTAAAATGAACTTAACTCTTATTAAAAATTATCTCTTGCGTTTTTTCACTACCTGCCTCCGCGGATTCACATATTGCGACTGTTCTTAGGCAATTCGTTTGCTAAAATTATGATGAATTGTGCACGAAAACAACTTTAACAGCACAGTAATTAGGAAACACCCAGTATAAAAATGCGCTCCTAATTTCCAGAATCTGAAGAAACGTTGAATTCGAAAGAGTTCAAGACGAGAGCAAAGTTTTCCTCCAAATGCCCAAAAACACTATAAGTATAAGACTGATGAGCCGAGCCTCAAATCACCTCTGAAAATTCAAACCACTTGTGCTTGCGAAAAGTCTGAACGACTCACCAGCTTCAACAAATTTTTGAAAAAGTTAGAATTTTGCATTCTTTGTTCGAAATTGCGAAGTTTTTTTGAACAATTTTTTTGAAGATGCCAAACAAACAATTTTTTTGAAGATGCCAGCAACTCAAGCGTGCGAAACGTCTGGAAAAAAATTATTTTCCACCACAGCCTAAAAGCCCGAACTGCTGACTAGTTTCAAATGGTGAAATGTTTGACAATAGAACTTACCATGAATGTGTAGAAGCCTCCTGGGACTGTTTGACCTCCGAACTTGATGTTAATGGTGTATTCCCCAGCATCTTCCACGGTGTAGAATATGCTGACAGTGCCATCCCCATTATCCACAATGTTAATATCCAAGTCGCTAGGAAAAAATCATTTAGTTCAGCTGTATGCTGATGGCATGATTATGAAACATACCTGCCGTTCACTGATTTGATTCTGCAGGTGACTGCACCTTTACCAGCATTTTCCGTATTGACTGTGATACAGTACGATTCTCCACTGGAGAGAGTTTTTTCCAAACCTTCCGTAATGGTACATTTCTCCGCCTTTAACAGACACAAAAGCGTGAAAAGTTTGGACGCTAATACACTCAAGACTTACATTTCCTATGGCATAGGCCTGGATGGGGATAGGCGTTTTGGGGACGTCTTTGCCTCCATATTTGACGTCCAATTTGTACCGTCCACAGTCATCAGGAACGAAAGTTGCGTTAACAGTTCCATCGCCATTTTCATGTATTTTCACTGGCCGAGGATGTCCATCAGGGCCGCTAACTTTAACTTCCAAATCCCCAAATCCTGCATCACTAGTATCGATTTTAACTGAAGTGGGTATTGATGCTGGAATGCCTTTTTCCACAATTGCTGGCCCGGTTATTTTCACTTTGTCAGGTTCCACAAGTGGGCGTACTTTTATGGGGAATGGACTGTTGGGCACATCTTTGCCATTGTAGAGGACGTGCGCCTTAAGATTGGCTCCTTCGTTTGGTGGGATGTACGTAACTTCGAACGTTCCATCACCATTATCCCGAATTTCCGGTCGTCTTGAGATCGGAGACGAATCAGACACGATGTTTACAGCTACCGGAGCCGGAGCCACTTTAGATGCGTCGATTTTGAATTTAGTAGGTATCAATGCTCTGCATTTGTTGGACTCAAGTCCCGGGCCATATGCCTTAACAAGGGTCTCATCCAATTCTGGCCTGACTTCAACTTTGAAAGGGGAGCCAGGTATATGGCTATCGGCAAACCGAATAGCTACATCATATTCTCCTGCTTCCGTGGGAATATATTCTACTGAACACGACCCATCTCTATTATCTTTGCATGTCATTTTAGCCTCTGATGGCCCTTCAATGGCCAAACTGAGACCGCCAGTACCCGCACCTTTGGTTTCCACAGTAAATACATTCGATTTGTTTAGAACTCCATTTTCTAAGCCAGGTCCATAGGCAATGCATTTCTTGGCATCGCAGCCGCGTCTCACATTCACAACAAAAGGCGATCCAGGCACGGGAACATTATCGTAAAATATGTCGATTGTATGTCTACCTTCTTCAAATGGAGTGTAGCTGACTTTGTATGTTCCGTCAATTAAAGCAGTGACGAGCTTCTCTGTTTGAGCTCCCGATGGGTTTGTTATGGTGCATGTGACTTTTCCATCGTCAGTTGATTTGGGTATACCACGCGTATCAACCAGAAAGTCCGTGGGGGAGTCGACGTATACACCTGCAAATGAGGAAAACGACTGTAAGAAAACTATGACTAATTGGAATTAAACATCGAGCAAAGCTGCCAGGTTCGACTGTGTGGAAACCTTGTTGGAGCAGCATCAGCCAACATAGAAACTCTCTTTCTGATTACGGTTATCGATCAACGCAACAACAAGCAATTAAATTACTTCAAACCAAAGAAAAACAGCAAACTAAATTAAAACTCACGCTAAAACAGTGGCCTCGTGCAGATTAGGGATTAAAAGTACATAGTTAAAAATACAATGTTTTACGCACACCAGTTTACCATGTAATTGAATTCCGCTCCCCGATACTTTAATCATGTTCATGTCAACTTCAGGCACAATAATTGCTTGAAATGGACTGCCAGGTATGTGGTTATCGTTGAACGTAATGTTAATTCCATAATCACCAACTTCAGTTGGTAAATATGCTACAGAGCACGTGCCATCTCCATTGTCTCTGCAGTTTATTGCTGCTTCGCAAGGTCCTTCTACAGTAACACCAAGACCTCCACCGCCACCTCCTCTGGTGTCAATGATAAACTCAGCAGGTCGGTTAACGATGCCCTTGTGAAGACCTGGTCCCGATGCTTTCACTTTTGTGGGATCACTTCCCGTTAGGCACGTTAACTTGAAAGGTCTATGCGATATTGGTTCTCCACCGAATGATATTCCGAGCAAATATTCTCCCAGCTGAGTGGGGGTGAAATTCACCAAGTACCCTTCATGCGTGGGGATGACGTGGGCTTTTACTTTGTTGCCTGAAGGACTTGTTATTGATATAGCGAATTCAGCCTTTCCAGCGTCCTGAGTTATGACTCTAAATTGCTGCAGGCTATTTATTGGCGCCGCTACGTTTCAACGCAAAAATATGTCAATACAACGTACACATTTGATAAATTGGGGATTTACAAGGTGTTTCAAGTGATTGGTCTTTATTATTATACAGATGCAAGGGCGGATCCAGGGAGGGGGGTCATGACCCCCCTTGTCCTGCGTTTATGTCGACTAACGATAATTTTTCTAATTTCATAGACAACAAAAGACTGAATTTCTACTACATGACCGATGCCAAAACGAATACTGTGGCTGAAATGGGGCTTGAGAAACTTCGAAAAAGGTAGCGTCATGTTTGAGTCGATTTTGCAACTCAAAAAAGAAACACGCAATTCTAAAACCGCTTGAAATCGAGACGTTTTTGAGAAAACTGCCAACATTTCCTTATTAATGGTTCACTTTCTCAAAACGCTATTTAGTTCTCTCTGGAATGATGTAAAAATGAGCGTTCTTGCCCATTTTGCTTCAGAGAAATGAGCAAAAACGGGACGGAAAACATAAAATTTTGGCATAATCTTACAGCTAAGTGTCTGATATTCAAATTTCGCTTTCTGGGTTAAAACTACTCGAATTTCCTCACTCATCTTGTTATGACTGCATAGAATTTTCAATTCTCCATCTAACGATGCCAAAACGAAATCCGTGACTCAAATCGGGCTTGAAAAACGTCGAAAAAAGCCACCTTATGTTTGTGTCGATTTTGCAACTCAAAAACAAACACGCAAATCTAAAACGTCTTGAAATCAATACTTTTTTGAGAAAACTGCCAACATTTTCTTATTAATGGTTCACTTTATCAAAAAGCTATTTAGTTCTCTCTGGAATGATGTAAAAATGAGCGTTCTTGCCCATTTTGCTTCCGAGAAATGAGCAAAAACGGAACGGAAAACATGAAATTTGGTCATAATCTTGCACCTAAGTGTATCATATTCAAATTTCGCTTTCTGGGTCAAAACTGCCCGAAAATTATGACTGAATCGAATGTTCAATTCTCTATCCAACCATACCAATGTGATGCCATGACCAACCATGTCATCACGGTTGTCATGTGGATCATGAGACCCTCTTGTGCTGAGTTTATGCCGACGATATTTTATCTAATTTCATAGACAACAAAAGACTGAATTTCAACTACCCTGACTTAAAAGCTGGATCCGCCCCTGTAAAGATGGAAGCAGCCCAGAATGAAAAAGTCACGAGCTTAATGGTTCATGGTACTCATTTCTAGCCTCAAGGGCATTTTTACTGTGAATGCATAGTTTCAAGTCAAAAATCTGCCAGACTTAAACTAGCTAGTTACAGTTAAAGCTACCAATAGCTCCGGCTTCAGTTGAAACACCCTCTATATGTAAAACACTACTTACTCGGTTCTAGGCCATCGACTTTGATCTTCGACACATCAACGTTGGGTTCTACGTTGACTTTAATGGGGGTAGTTGGCACCCTTAGGCCGCCATAATACAACGAGACCGAATAGTCGCCGGATTGGGGAACTTCGTAGTCCACTGTGTAGGTCCGGTCTCCATTGTCGGTGAGTTTGACGGGGATTTCTTCACGAGTGTCTTCATTTATTAGGTGGACATCCAACTCTGCATCTCCCGCATCGCTGAACAATCATAAAATTAGCCAAGCATTAAAAAAGTAGTATTCTTTTACCGTGCATCAATGTTAAAGTGGGTGGGAGTTGCGGCTTTAACACCTGTTTCTACCCCTGGTCCAAAGCAGAGGACTTTGGTTGCATCCACTGGTTCCCCAACGAATATTCTGAATGGCGAATTTTTCACAGCGACTCCCCCATAGTTCACTTGCACTGTATGGCGGTTTCCACTTTTGGGAATGTAAGAAGCTTCGACTGTACCATCAGAGTGTTCCACAAGATTGACATCGACCTTATTGGAGTTTCCGTCCAGAACTTTCACATCTAAAGGTGCTGATCCAGCGTTTCGAGTGTCGATTTTGAATTTAGTTGGAACATCTTTCTGCGGCCCGTTGGGTTCGACTCCTTCCCCATAGACGTCCACTTTCTCCGGGAAATAATCGGTGTGAGGTAAAATGTGAGCGATGAACGGACTCTTTGGAATGTCTTCGCTATCGCATAGGATATGAACTGCATATTCGCCTGGAGCTGTTGGATAATATCTTACGTCTGCTGAGCCATCTCCATTATCGTGGCACTCGATTTTCGCTTGGGATGGGCCTTGAATGCTGAACCCTAAAGCTCCAGTTTCACCATTGGTTTCCACAGTAAACAAGGCGGGGTAATTTACAACGCCGCCCACTAATCCTGGTCCATAAGTTTGTATTAAAGTTTCCTTGTAAGGGCCGACGTTTACATCGAAAGGTGACTTGTGGATTTCATGTCCGGCAAAATTAACCATGATCCTATATCGGCCTTCTTTAAGCGGATTATACACACAGTGGTATACGTTGCCATCGATTTTGGTGATTTTGCAGGTTTCCTTTATTCCCGCAGGGCCGATAATATCGACCTTCGGGTATCCTTCCCCAGCACCATCGGTGTAGATTTTAAAATCAGCTGCATCCTTCACTCTTACGCCATTGGGCTGCAATCCTCTGCCACTGGCTTTTACTTTCTTGTGATCCGATACTGGAGACACCCGCACACCAAAGGGGCTGTTTGGAATGGGTTGGCCGGCGAAGAAAATGTTGACGGAATGCAGGCCAAGGACAGTGGAAATGTACTCACAGCGCCAGATGTCTGGACTTGTTTGCCTCACTTTTACTGTTGCTGAATTTTTGTTGCCGGATGAATCGAGGATCACCACCTCTGGAACCCCTTTGCCAGCATCTGAAAAGAATACTCTTTAATTTAGCACCTCGCGTATTGAGCTAGATGTTTTACTTTTAGTTGAAATGTCGAAATAGGTTGGCTTGTTAATGAAAACCCCGTCAGGTTGCAATCCTGGTCCAGATGCTGTTACTTTAGTAGGGTCTCCTGCGTGGCCTTCAACTTTGACTGAGAAGGGACTTTTCGGCACATCTCTGCCGGAGTATTTCACATGGACCTTATGTGCGCCTTCAAGTTGTGGGGTATAGGAGACGGTGTAGGTCAGATTTCTATCATTATTGAATCTAACATCCACCGGCTCTTTTTGGCCACGCGGATTTTCGATAACCACGTCTACATTGCCTTTTCCGGCCGAAAATGTTTCAACAGTAAAATTCACCGTTGCTCCCACCACGGGACCGGTAGGCTCTACTCCTGGACCATAGACTCGTACTCTGTAAGCAAGGAATTTAAGTAGAGCTGTAAATCAGACGCTGTTAATTTCATTTGGTGACATTTTGAAATTGAATAAACTGGACACGCAAAGAAGCGCTAAAACGCTCTTTTTATAAGGCAAATCGTCATTTAAATTAAGCTGGTTTGAGCTTCCACTGCCAGAAGCTGATTCGCTTCACTAAAGCAATTCTGACTCTATTCTGTAAAAACACTTACAACTTTTGAAACCCACTCAACTAAAGGTCGGGACACATCTATCCGATCCGACTCCGATCCGACTCCGATCCGACTCCGATCAGAGAACTTTCCGTCGATGACCAAATAATCGGATCGGTGCGTGATCGGAAAGGGGAAGCCACACATGTCATACACGTTTC